CAGAACACAGCCCCACATAGAGTCAGAACACAGCCCCACATAGAGTCAGAACACAGCCCCACACACAGTCAACAGATGGTAGTGGAACTGGCCCCGGCTGCAACAAATGTCTCATCAGTGGTTTGTTACTTGTTAGTAACCTGAGAGGCACCCACAGGATGTGATGCCAACAGCAGTAACAGTGAGCAGCACAGCTAGAGCTGCATACCCTCTTAGCATCAAAGAGGTAACTGCGGCCTTCAACTCTCCACTGCTCCTTTTTCTCCTCCTCGATGGCAGTTTCCAGTGCTTTTATTGCTTCATTTTTCACCTCTAAAGCTTTAGCAACTTTCTCCTGAAAGCAGAAACAAAAAATGATTCAGAATTCAAGCAAGCTGCAAACAAGAGATCTGCAAATTATTCCTGAAATTCTGCACTACAATTTGAGAAATGCCTACACCAGCTAGATTGCACCAGGTTTGGGACATGACAACAATTACTGCTCACAACCAACTGTACAAAAAAATCAAAAGCCATAAAATATTTGTTTTGGTGTAAATTGCTTTTCCTTCACTTTTTTTCCCTCAAACCCACACAGCAACACCAACCTAAGATCTAAAACATACCTCATAGTAGCATTGATACAATAATAGTAGGCTCAGATTCTATTACAGCCCAGGCCTGCTTAAGCAGACCAATTAATTTTTAGCTTTTTTTGCAAAGTTGGATTAAATATTATTATTTTTACCTCATTAAGTTTGTCAGCAAAAGCTGCTACATCAGCACCGTACTTTTTAACGGCATAAATGATGACTGTCAATATGCAGGCAGCTGCAACTGTCTCGTGGTTAATGACATAGATTTCCTTAGAGAGTAAGTAAAGCACGAGTCCAGTTCCCAACATGTAAGGCCCTAAAAAAAATAAAATAAATCAGCATTGCTTGCACTGACGTGAAACACCTAAAAGCAAATAGATTAACTCCAGGAAACAGATTAAATCCAGGAAACATACAGAAAGGACACTGAGGTGCTGCAGCACGACCAAAGAGCAGCAAGGCTGGGGAAGTGCTTGGAGAATATGGCCTGTGAGGAGAGACTGAAGGAGCTGGGGCTGTTTGGTCTGGGGAAGAGGAGGCTGAGGGGAGACATTACTGCTCTCTTCCAATACCTGATTGCAGCAGAGCGGGGCTGGTCTCTTCTCACTGGTGACAGGACGAGGGGAAATGGCCTCGAGTTGCATCAGGGGAGGTTTAGGTTGGATATCAGGAAAAACTTCTTTAGAGAAAGGGTTGTGAAGCACTGGAATGGGCTGCACAGGGAGGTGGTGGAGTCACCAGCCCTGGATGTGTTTGAAATCTGGATGCGGTGCTCAGGGACGTGATTTAGCTGCTGTTACGGCTGGGTTCATGGTTGGACTATAAGGTCCTTGAGGACTTTTCCATCCTGAGTGATTCTTTGATTCTATGACTCCTTTCTACCATAACCAAAGGCAGAATCAGACAGCTTCAGAACAGCACAGTGGGAAGGACACCACCAGCAGCATCCAGCTCCTGGCTCCACACAGAACTGCCCAAATTCAAGCCATATTCACACAGAACTGCCTGCTGCAGGCCTTGACTTGACTATTGTAAAGCTGTTCAAATGCACTTAGCATGAGGAATACCACACAGGCCTCAAAACCACCCTCTCATTATACCTAAAGAGTAAAAATTCTTCCTCTTCTCCTTAAATATCATGCGTTGAACACATGCAGGATGCTGACCAATGCTGTGTTTTCCAAAATACTTTACCTTTTTTTATGCTACAAATTACAGACACATCTAAACAAGCCTAACTAAATGCAAATTAAAAACACATCACAGAATCACAGAATTGCAGGGTCTGGAAGGGGCCTCTAGAGATCATCCAGTCCATCTCCCAGGCAGATGTGAAATCTGTTTCTTGGACAGGGAGGAACACAGCATCTGCATTCAATCAACATGAATAAAATGGAACTGCTCAGTCAGCATTTTTGGCACAACATGTTTTGTGGGAACATTCACTGCAGAGGGAGCAGAATTCCCTTCTGGAATTCCCCTTCCCCCAGGAGGGGCTGCTGCACTACCAGAGCCGGGCATCAGGGGGCCAAAGTCCTCCTATTTCTAGATGAGAAATAAAGTACAAATTAGGTGAGACTTTGCAGAACACTTTTTTTGCTCCTTAAATAGGCTCCCTATTAAATAGGGACTGATTTTGATGACTGATTCCTTGAAACAAAGTGTTCCCCAAGTGCTTGATTCATGGGGAATCTCAGTTTGAGAAGAAAGCAATCGAGAACGTTCAATTTCGACCCTTACAAAAGTTCTTCACTTCTCTGCACATCAAAACGTGAGTCAGGTTAAGAATTAAGGAAAGCAAAAGAAGAGGCCAAAACAAAGTGACGTTTTTATCTGAACCCTGTCTGAACCCTCCCTCCAAGACCGATGATTTGCTGCCATCTCAAAACACAAATATTAACCTGTAACCCCGGTTTTAGGATAGAGAAACTGGAAGAACTCCTCAGGGATCAGGCCGTGCCGGACCTCTCCTCCTTTCTCCGGCAGCGGAGGCACAGGAGCCAAGCGGTGCTGAGCGGTGTGAAGCGGCCTCGCGACGTGCAAGACGCTGCAATGAGAAAGCTTCCGTTCAGCTCCACGGCGTGCAGAAAGAACCGCCGAGAGAAACCCGCCTGACAGCGCGGAACTCACCCTGCACAGACGGGAGGCGGGAGGCCCTGGAGGCCCTTCAGCACGGCCGGGGCTGCGGGAGGAGAGGGGCAGAGGGCACGTCAGGACGGAGCTCACACACCCTCCCCTCCCCCCTAGCTCCCGCCCGCCATTTCCCCGTACGGAGCCGTGCCCGCTCACCGGCGCGGAGGACCAGACGGGACAGCATGGCGGCACAGCGACCCTTCGTCCCGGTGACCGCCGGCCGCCTCCGCACCACCGAGATGGCGGCTGGGCGGATCTCGCGAGACTCTCGCGAGACTCTCGCGGAGGCCGCTCTCGCGAGAGGAGACGGCGCGCGCGCGGCGCGGGAGCACGTGGGGACGCCGCCGGTCCCGGTCCCGCTGCGCCACCGCCGCCATGGAGGAGCCGCCGCCCGAGCAGCCGCCGCCCCCCGCGACTCCGACGCCCTCAGCAGGCGGGGAGGAAGATGAGGCCGCGGCGGCCGGCGGCCCCGAATGGAACATCCCGCCTAACGCGCCCGCCTGCATGGAGCGGCACCTGGAACGCGCTCATTACCGCGCAGGTTAGCGGCCCGTGGGCACGGGGCGGCGGGGAGCGGGGCGGGAGAGGCGGCGGGGTGCGGCACCGCGGGTGCTGAATGGCTGAACGTCCCGCAGACGGAGCGCTGCTGCTGGGCGCCTCGGGGCTGAGCGGCCGCTGCTGGGCCGGCTCCATCTGGGTATTCGCCGACCCCCGGCGCGCCCCCAGCGAGGGCTTCTGCACCGCCGGCGTCCAGACCGAGGCGGGCGTGGCCGACCTGCGCTGGGTGGCGGACAGAGGCATCCTGGTTGGTTCCGACTCCGGTAAGCGTGAGGCGTCGCCCCCCGCCCGCTCCCGCCGGCCTCCCCTTGGCCGCATCCCCGTTCCCTTCTCCCCGTCCCGGTGCCCGCGGTGAGGCGGGGCCCCCGCTGTGCCCCTCAGGCGCCGTGGAGCTGTGGGAGCTGGACGAGAAGGAGACCCTCATCGTCAATAAGTTCTGCAAATATGAACACGACGACATGGTGGAGGCGGTGGACGTCCTGGCGGGCAGCACGCGGGCGGTCAGCGGCGGAAGAGACTTCAGGTGAGCTCTCCCGGCCCCGCTTCTCACCCCCCCCCCGGGGATGTGATGCCAGGCTCTGACTGATGCCTCTCGCCTGCAGTGTGAAGGTGTGGGACCTCCCGCAGCAGGCTGTGCTGCACTCCTACAGAGGTGAGTGCCCGCTGCATTGCAGGTTGTGGCCCCCACACGTGGGTGCTTCGGTTCCTAGCACAAGCGTACCTCTCTGTCCAATTTTCCCTACACAACCTGTGTTATAGGACCCGTTTCTTCTCATTTCCAAGTATATTCTTGAATTTCTCTGCTTTCTTTTCTTCCCTGCACCTGCATGCATAAAGTAAGCTTTGAATGATGCTCACTACAGCTCTGGGGAGCTCACACTGGGCTGTCACAGGAGCCATGCTTTGCTTGCTTGGTCGTCTCCTCCTGCCCCTCTGTAACCAACCTCTGGTCTGCAGAGGATTCTTCAAGCTGGTGCACATTGTGAGGATGTGGCTGCAGCGGCTCTCTTTGGGTTTGGCAGCTCAGTGTGTTTAGGAAGTGCTTGGATAGCCTTTAATAGAAGTTACTCTTGGTCTGCTGTGCCTCCAGAGATCCTCGCTCCCTTCTCAGTGTTGTGCAGTTAGGCACTGGGCACACAGGGGAATGTCAGATACAGTCTTTGATGCTCTTTATCCTTTTGTGCTTTTGGTAGCTCACTCCGATGCAGTGACATGTGTGGCTGCCTGTCCTGGTAAGGACACCATCTTCCTGTCCTGTGCTGAGGTAAAGCTAATTCTATCTGAATCTGCCTGATAAAGATGATATTTAACTTAATTATTTGCACTTAAATGCATTTGTTGAGAAACTACCTGTCATATAAAATGTGTGCACGTATGCTTTGTTCCAATGTTGCAGTCTGATAAGTTGCTGATGGGCTCACCCAGCTGTTGGTGCAGGTTTGTGTTAAAACATGGGAATTCCCAGCTCTGTCCTGGGGTTACTGAAGGAGCTGGGTGTTAATGCCAGCATCACTTTAAACACAGGAGGAGCTGATGTGGGTTTGAATGTGAATTGGTAACAGTACTGCAGTGAATCTGAGTTTACGCCTGCCTCTGCTCCAGAAGGAAATTGTAAACATCTTTTTTTGCTTTGAATCTATAGGATGAAAGAATATTACTGTGGGACACCAGATGCCCCAAACCAGCTACTCGAATTGGTACGTTTCTGAATGCAGTCACTGCTGACGTATGAAGTTGTGTGGGGAAATAGACTATTTCATGCCTGAGTTCTCTATGTCTACCCTCAGTCTAGTGGCCTGGCCACTTGGTCACAGAAGCCCATTAAATCTTAAGAAGTCTAGCTCTATCACAGAAGTAAAATCAACGTTTCAATAATGATCGTAGTGCTGTAGCAGCGTTAACTGGGCTAGGGTAGGGAATGTCTTTATAAGGACTGCTCTCTTCACTCTTACCCCAATTTATTTATTTACAGTTTGCAGTGCCTGTAATTACCTCCCTACCTCAGTCCTGTGGCATCCACAGGAAAGTGACATCTTTGCTTTAGGTAAGAAGTGCTCTTCCTGTTCAGTTTTCATGAGACAAATTGAGGTCTTTCTATTCACGTGACAGCTTTGCTGATAACCTCATTCTCTCTTCTCCAAAAGGTGATGAAAGTGGAACAGTTGCACTAGTAGACACAAAGAATCCTGATTCTGCCCTCAGCTCCATTGTGCATGCCCGACGTGTTACGGGCTTTGCATTTTCTGCACATAGGTACTGTCTAAAATAGGGGCGTAGAATATGCAGCTATAGATGCACTTGAATGCCAGAGTAAAGCATTTTTTGTAAATTTAGTTGTGTATTTAATTGTTCTAACCATGGTCTCTTCTCTGCCCTCTAGTTCACCTTTGCTGGCTTCCATCAGTGAAGATTGTACAGTAGCTGTTCTCAACTCAGACCTTTCAGAGGTGTAAGTACCAGGCAGTGTATTCAACTGGGGCTGTTTGTCTTGATGTCTCCTCATTAATTGTTTATGTACTAAAGGGAAGGTGAAAATACTCCTTAAAGTGGGGAATGCTATCCTAGCAAACTAGCAATTAGGATGTGCACAAGCCAAAAATTCTTAGCAGCAGTGCTCCATGGCTAACAGTGCTCTGTTTTCCAGGTTCAGAAGCCGTTCTCATCGAGACTTTGTAAAAGGTTTATCGTGGTCTCCTTCAGACAATGCCTTGCTCACTACAGTTGGATGGGATCATCAGGTTTTACATCACACTGTCCCCATACCAGCTGGTGAAGCTTCCGGAATCAACTGTGTAAAAGAATAGTTTTATAAACTCGTTGGTCCAAGTTTCTTCCTTGCATTACTTTGGTTCTCCTGAAATCGAAGATGTTTGTGAACTGGAGTAGTTATGGATTGTTGTCTGCCTTGAACCTTGTGGCTAAGAAGGTTCCTGTAGTAGTTTTGAGTTAAGCATAAATTAGTTGCAAACTAGTCTGTGCCATCTCCTCAGGAGTTGGATTCACCTGCGAAAAGACTGCAGTTTTTTACCTGGAAAAAAAAAATAGTGACTTCAGCCACAGAGGAGCCTTGGAAGAGGGAATTAGGTGTAATAAAATGGAAAAGACTTGTTTCTTCAAACCACTCACAGAACGAATAGGAACAAATTATTTGGGGAGGTTGAATATGAATAAAAATAATTGGGAGGTACCTTTACTGAGGTAGATGCAAAAGCCTGAGCAAAGTGTTTGCTCTTTAAATACTTCCTTCCAACTGGGCAGGAAGATGAGTTGGAATTTTAATGGTAGAAGAGTTTCCTTGTCCTTAATGCCACATTCAGTTTAGAAGGTTGGTTTTTGCTATCTTCTATTGCAAATAATCCCGTGGTGAGAACTGTATGTCAACTTCTGCTCCACTGGTGGGTGTCAGAGTACCAGTGCTTGGTGTGACACGTCATATGCTGTACGATAAGGATCCCAGCTGCAGTCATTAAACATCTTTGTGATGGCGCATGACATGCTGAAATACCAGGACTTGCAATGCTCACCACTGCTTGGAGCTGAGAGCAGATCAGGGGCTTTTCTGCAGCATGCTGAATGCTGACAGAAGTTTGCTTGGCACATTTCAGCTTCTCTGTGCTGAATACAACTTACTCCAGAATGAGGTTTGTGAACAGAAGTTTATGTAAGAGAAAAACTGGACTAAGGACTTGAGTCTTCATTTTGTTGCTCCTGTTATCAGACTGCTTATAGTGTTATTAACACAAGTAGTGTTAATAGAGATAATTAAGGCTCCTGATAGACTTTCAGTGAGTGACTTTTTGTGCTGGAGACTGAGAAGATCAAGCATTCCCATGATCCCCTCAAAGACTTCACGTAATCCTTAGAGGTTGGGTTTGTTTTTTTTTTTTTGGTAATATAACATACAACTTCTCAAACTAAACTGTTTCCTTTGAATATATTGAACTGACAATAAATGGCATTGCTCTGCATCCATGGCCACTGCTCCAGGTTTGGCTTTCCTAGAGACAACAGTGGGATTTTGCCAATGAAACAACAACTTGCGTTAGAAATGAATGCTACATTTTCTTTACCATGATAGCAACACTACACTGTAAGCAACTACAGTGTCATAATTGTTTTCAGAGCAAAATTCCCCAGCTAGAGCATTGTATTGGAAAGGTAAACAATTACAAAGAACAAGAAGTTGCCTCAAAACTGTCCCTTCAAAGAGTTAAGGCCAAAGGTTGTGTGTTACAAACTGGTGCTTGTGGAGAAAGGTGTCTTTGGAAACAGTGGAAGGCAGTTTTTAAATAAATCATCATTTTCATTTACAACTGGCTCTTAAGTTTCACTGGGCAGCCTCTGCAATATTAAGAGCCAGCTGAGGTCACAGAGTGCTGAAGTTGTGATTTCAGTCCCTGGAGTTACAACCGGGCTTAAATAAACATTCGCCGATGCCATGCAAGCAGGGACAAGTTTCAAATGGGAAGTTTTAAACCATGCGAGTTCCTCACATCACCGTGCTGCAGAGTTCTGCCGTCCAGGGCAAAAAGCAGCACAGTGGTGGAAGATGAGGACCGTGTGGAGAAAAGGTCGTGGTTGATAATTATTCCTCTTGTACAGTCGATTAAAGAAAGCACGGCAGCACATTCTGGGCTTCGTCCTGCAAACCTTCGGGTACGGCTCTGTGTTCTGCCGCAGGAGGGCAGCAGCATGACAACAGCCAGAGGTTTGCACGCATTGAAGATCATTTACCCTTTTTACCACTTGTTTTTTTCCCCCCTACCATCATAAAATAAGCACAATAAGCATCAGTTTATTTAGCAGTTGCTAGTTTGTTAGCTTACCAAGGCCATAAGCACTGGGAGGCAGCAAGGCCATAACAAGCAGCATCACACCAGCACACTGCCCACTGACTTACAAGCTATCTGCAAAGGAACTGAAGGATCCTCTGGGTTTTGTGGTGTGCTGATGCTGCCCAAGCTGCTTCACACCCTGCTCAGGCTTGGGGACACTGCTGTAATATGCTGTGGCTAGAGAAAACGCTTCAAGATACATTGCACGCTTCCCTAATGAAGAACCTTGTTTTGTAGCCAGGATTAAAGAGATGAGAATGCAAATAAGTATAATTTGGAGGCATGGAGAGAGTTAGCCACTCTGGAAACAAGCTGCCTTTTATGTTAGTGCTTGCATTGCTCATCCTGCATTTTAAATTTTAAGCACAGCATTCTAGTCAGGACTTGCAAATCACTCTGCAAGTTTCATTCCTAATGAAAAGCTCCAAACCAAGAGCACTATTTATAGAAACCCAGGCTGAACTGTAAAGCTGCTCCATCAGGCTGCTTGCCCTGCAGGGCACCGGGTGGTTCTGCAGCAATGGGCAGTGAGGAGAGCTGCCTGCTCGTGCTTCTGTTATCACTGACATTGTCACAGCAGATGTTGATACTGAGCCCTAAGCAGAAGCTGGGAAAGGTGAAGTTCAGTAGATAAGGTTAGATAACACTAAAAAAAAAAAAAGTCATCAAACAATACATCCAGACACATTTAATGCAAGAAGGTTGGTGTTCAGTGGCACTCATAAATAAGAGACTTTGTTCAAACACTTTACAAGTAGAGCTCTCAGTCTACTACATCAGCAGGTGCTTTAGAGGAGGTTGCAGGGGCTCCTTTAAGTCGAATCAAGACTTGAATGTGGCAAGAGAGGGTCGAGGCATTAACAATTCCACTGTCAGCTTTCAGGATGGCTGCCAGCACTGTAAGGTCACTTGGCTCTGTTACCACCCCTCAGTTTCCCTCCTCTATCGCTAAGTTTATGTAGTAAAGCAGCTGGGGGAGAAGGAAGAGAAACAGGAATCGGAGCGAAGCAGTGTGTGTGCTGTGCTGACAAATCACCCGGCCGAGAGGGAGCTCCCAGCAGCTGAGCCCTCACTGCTCATTGCACTGAACTGCCCTGGAACAGCTCTGACAGCCATTTCTTTGGAATGCAAACAGTTCCCCATGGCCTTGACCTGTTTAGTCGTACTGAAATCCTACTATTTTCCTAAAGCAGCGGGGACAGCCCGCAGTGTCTAAAGAACAGAATCGTTTCAATGCTTCAAACGTTCACGTTAACCAGTTTTACTGGGAAGCTCTGCTCGGTTTCATTACAGCTTAGCCCATATGCATTCCCAGCATGGGCGTTCTTTGAGTAAATAAACGGCTGTTACACAAACCTGACTTACATTCTCATGCTATTTAATTTAAAGCAGTGTCCACCTGCTAGAAACAAGATGCTCCACGTAGCACTGTATTATAGCCACTTGGGAATTGCATGTCTGATTGAAACAGTAAACATGGAATTCAAAGCAAGTGCCAACGTTGGATTTCAGATTTGCTCTGAGAAAAAAAAAAATGAAACCTTTGTTGGGGGTGTTTGTTGAGGTTGAGCAGAATTCGAAAGAGGAAGGCAATCCAGAAATTGCATACATGTTAAAGGACTCATCTCCAAGTCTGAAGTCTCCCAGCAAGTCTTTTAAAGTAATTTTAGGAATTCATTTGAAGTTTCACTCATTATGCAAAAATCTACACCAGGAAACAGAAAGATCAGGTTGCAACATTATCAGTGAAGCTTCTTTGTTTTAGGGGAAAGTGGTGGAAAGTGGTGAAATTCCATCCTGGATGTGTGAAACACAAGCCTGGAGCTACGCAGACAGCATCCCAGCCTCACTCCCAGAGATCAATAAACATTCTCAGGGCGCTCCTCACGTGGGGAACTTCCTGACTGGGGGTGGAGATTGGCAAATGGCTGTGGTACACACATTGTATGAGCCCAGGGAGTTACTGCCTAGTTCCTCCATAGCTACTCTCCATAAACCAACATCCAGCCATTTAAAGGGCGCTGTTTCAATACCAGCTGGAGGGAGCGCAGCTGGAAGCGTTCCAAGTCACTGCGAGTTACTGGCATAAAAACATCCTATGAATTAGCTGTTAGGCTGATTACGGTGTTTGCGTTCTCGTTTCATTCACAGCAAAGTAAAGTTCAGAATACTTTGAAGCCTCTGCAGCATTCGAAACAGCTGTTAAATTATTAGGTAGAGCTGGAAATAATGTAAAACAGAATGTCAACGGCGTGACATTAATAAAGATAACTTCTGAAACCTGCACTGTGAGGGGAAAACTTATCACCGAGTTTTGAGTCTAATTGTAGAGCAAAATCTACTCGCAGCACAAAGCAGAATAAGCTTGAATGGAACTAATGATACTGTATGACATTGAGAACAGAAAGTGCTTTCAATAAAGGTAGACTCGTGTCTCAAAGTGCTTTAGTTTGTCAGCGATTAGAAAATACTCTCTACAAGTTTTTACACCTATCTTACAGTGATTTGCAGCAAGTTTACCTGGGAGGAAGATTTGCTTCTAACTTCTGGAACTATTCAAAACCTCAGAATAATACATTCTCACTAACAGCTGACCGCAGTGTGAAATACCCTCTTTCAGACCACTCTCCTCTCCCATCACACAGCACTGGCTCCTTCAGGCAGATCTGCACTGAAGTATCCACGACGCTGATGGAAACAGCTGGAGAAAGGTCCCTCAGGTACACCACACCCCAGAGTGTCAAAAACTTTACAGTTACACCAAAGCTTAGCTTATTCATTCCCTAGATCAGAGATCTCACGTTGCCAACATGCTTCACTGCCACCCAGCCAGGCCTTGCAGTCTCCCATGACAAAGAACCGGCAACACAAACGTGCAGGCACCAAAAGGAGTGGGAAAGCAAGAGCTGTGCTCGCAGAGCAGCTGCTCCCAGCCCTGGAGATGGGCACTGAGAGCACGAGCTGGCTTAAGGCATCAGCGTAATGTGTTCACTCAAGGTGGAGGGGGCGGTGATGCAGGCATCCTAAACTATTTCTATCCAATTGACCTCACGTTCTTAATTCCCCCTAAATTCAGATACATACTGGCTTGCTTCCATTACACACATCTCCAGCTTTGGCTTCTCCCCACTCCCAAGCACGATTAAACAAACAAAAAAACCCCCAAACTCTCCAGTAACGATCTTTAAGCTAAGGGTCTTTTGCATTTTAGAAGACCTATCAGGCTGCAAATTTGAAACCAATACTGGGGAAGAGGGAAGAAGAGAAAGAAAAACATCTTTGCTCACACAACAGTAGCTGGTCTGCAGTAACTATGCTCCATGACAGTCTTTTTGAAGAGTCCAAGTCCCAGGTTTGCTCTCCACATTTCGTCCTCAGCAGTGTCGAGCAGTGTTTGCTGGCCAGGTGGAGAAAACCTGCAACAACCACGCACCTCGTTGTCTCTTCCCAGCAGAAGGACGAAGGCAGTGGAGCAGCCCTAAGGATGAGCCTATCGGTGCCCACTCTGGTAGGTGTAGGAGATGGGCTGCCGTGCCCCGGGTCTGACCATGAAGGTGTTGGTGGGTCCACCATACTGCGAGCTGCCGTGGGCAGGTCTGGAAGGAAAACAGTGGGGAAAGTCACCAAAAGCCAAAGAAACTATTTGTCTGTATTCAAAATGGCCGTGCTTTTCTATTGAAGATAGTTACAAGAGATGCTTTCCTCTTTTCCCCACAAGAAGCCCCTCCACCCAGCAGCCCTCCACCCACAGCTGCAGAAGTAAGCGTGGTCATCAGTACGGCCTCTGGGCTGCCCTTGCATCCTCACCACAGAGCTGGTGGAATGAGAGCCACTGCAAAGCCCTTATCTCTGCCATTTGTGGCAGATGACCCAAGGTGTCGCTTTCCCACCAGTTTCTCAGCCCAGGACTCTACTAACGACCAGAGGTCAGTTGATGGAGCCACGTACCTGCCAGCTACTAAGAAGTCCCCATTCTGCCCCTTGTACTTGGCGTCAGCCCCGCCGTACGGCCCAGCTTTCCCAGCTGAATCGATGGAGGTGCGCCTGCCTTGCGCGCTACCAGGGCCGTTCCAGTGGGCAGAGCTGAGGCGGCGGGTCCCATCCCCAGCTGAGGAGCTGTACGCCCCAGAGCCATAGGATGGGAGCCCCGCGCCCCGGGCAGCTGCTCTGGGGTAGGAGTGTTCAGGCTCGGAGACGTAGAGCCGCTTTTTGATCAGCGGGCGGCTGCTCGGCCCTCGGCTGAGGTAACCGGCGGCGCCGCTGTAATCTGGGCACGGGGGTGCCAGGTCACCATTCCTCCTGCTGTGCTCCGAGGGCTCCTGGCTGCTCCCATAGCCGTAACTACGGCCGTAGCCAGGCCACCTGAAGTACCGTGGTGCGTCGGAGCCTCGGCTGCAGTCAGGGAAGCTGGGGCACTTGTGGTTCTCTTCACGGCTCTGCGGGATCCCACCAACCTCATCCGCCTCATTGCTGAACTCGGGGGGCGGGGGGATGATGGCGTAGTCCAGCGCTGCCTCCCCGTTCTCCTCCTCCTCTCCAGATGTGGTATGGCGGGGAGGGTTGGGGTCCTTTGGCTGCTCCAGCAGACCCCGCAGCAGGCTGGAGGCTGCAGCCCGCTGCTGCCCTGGGTGCTGCCCATTGCCCACCGCCTGGCCCTGCTCTGAGGAACTGGAGAAGGACGGCGGCTTGCTCTGTGCTGCCGAGGGCCGGGGCACCACGGTGAAGGAGTAAGGCTTGGATTCGTGGCGGTAGAAGCTGGTGCTGGAGGTGGTTTCTGATGCGCTGCTGCCGAATTTGCTGTGTGGCCTGGCTCTTGGCAGTCCCCCCGCATCGCTGCCCTGGCGGCCCCGCTGTGCCCGCTGCCGGGCTGCCAGCAGCAGTGCCATGGGAGAGCCCCGCTCTACCCGCTCTCCTGTCACCGGGTGGATCAGCACCTCCTCCTGCCCTGTGCCCAGGACTCCTGGGGGGCTGCTGGCTGAACTCGGGGGGCAGGCAGGCTCAGCTTCACCAGCCCCAGCCCGGTGCACTTTGTACTGGAAGATGTTGGCGTTGGGCTGCGGCACTGGGGAAATGGGGGGTGATGGGATGGGGGGAGCTGGCGGCTCCTCCACTGCTCTCTGAGGTGGGCCTGGGGGGCTCACACTGCTGTCAGGGGAGCGGGGAGCAGGGGTTGAGCTCTCCATGGCCTTGTTAGCGGCAGGGATGACGGGAGCAGGATGCTTCTCTTGTTCTGTTTTCTTCTCCACAATCGCAGCATCTGCTGGGGCTGGCAGTGAGCTCAGGGCTGGTTTTGGCAGCACAGCGTCACCCGGCTCAGGAGGGCTCAACCCTGAATGTGAGGCACTGCCACCATCCTCAGGGCTCTGCTTCTCACCACCGAGCCCCAGGGCTGGCTTCCTTTCTTTCTTCAGGGAGAACACAGCCTCCAGCTCACTCCTGATCTTCTTCACGCTGTGGGGCTGTGCAGTGGGGCTGCTCTCCACAGCTGGTTGTGCTGCACCAGGGTGTCCCCCCATGGTACTGGGGCTGCTCCCAGGCCCCTCTCTCCTCTCTCTCTCCTCTCCTGTAGGTGATGACAAAGCTTTTCCAACAAGCCTGGCTCCATCAGACCCATGGTTACCAGCATGGTTGGTGCTGCCATTTATGGGCTGGGGGGCTGCTGGCCCTTCCGGCTGCCTCTCATCCCTCCTGGGAGAGCGCAGCAGCGCCGATAGCTCATGCTGCAGCTGGCTCAGACTGCTGGGATCCTTCCAGCTGTCCTCACAGAGAGGATAGTCCGGAGGGGGCAGCTCCAGGTCGTTTGCAGTGATAACTTCAGATTTTGGAGGAGAGTCTCTGATGTCTGTTTTTGGCTGGAGGTTCTTCGGCTCTGAGCTGGGCACTGAGGTCTGGCTGCTGAGCACAGCGCCCGGCTTGGGGCTCAACGGAGGAGGGGCTGCCTTGGCGATGGGCTGTCTCAAAGGTGGATTTCTTTCCTTGGCTTCTCCTGCATGAACTTTGGCTGTGGGTCTAATGGTGAAGCAGGGTGGGAGGGGAGGCCGTGCATGGGGCTGCCGGGTGAAGGGCTCAATGCGGGAAGGCTGGCTCTCCTGCACGGGGATGGAGGAGGACCGGGCCGGGGCAGGTGGGGGCACCTTGAAGGACCTGGGAAAGGTGAGGTGGGGCTCAGGGCACTGCTTAGGGGCCTGTGGGTTCTCCTCTGCACTGGGGGCAGCCGGCACCTTGGTCTCAGCAGGACAGAGTGGCCCCTCATCATCCACCTGCCTCGTGTTCAGCACCGTCTCAGACTTCCACTTGGAGATGCCATTGCTGAAGGGCACAGGAGCCTTGCTGAGCGGTGGAGCTGGCGGGATGAAGTCTGGAGGTGCTGGCGTGATGGGGGAGGGCAGAGTGGGCTCTGGAGGTGGTGGAGGTGCCACGGCGGGGGGTGGTGGCACTGCCTCAGGTGGTGGCAGCAGCAGCGATGGTGGCAGTGCTTCGGGTGGTGGAGGAGCCGGTGGGGCTGGAGGTGTGAGCACCTGCGCTGTTGGAGGGGGTGGTGGGGGCACTGATGGTGGCGGAGGGATGTCCTCATCCTCATCTTCCCTCTCGAGAGCCTGTGGGCGCAGGTCCCCCACCGAGCTGTACATCCGGTAGTTCCCGTTCATCTGGGAGCCGGGGTCTGCAAGGAATAGCAAGAGCAGGGTGGCATGAGCACCTCCACCAGCACTGCAAAGACCAGAATTTCCGCTGGTCAGCCATCCTCCTAGGAAGCTGGTTTATTTTGCTGAGCAGCTGTCTAAAGCTTGCTTAACTCTAACAGCCACTACACCTCAACTTTTAAAAACAAATTCATTTTCAACGACCCCACAAAGTTATTAACAACAGGTCTGGTTTTAGCATTAAAATCTCAGGATCAGACTGTCTGCTCCAGAGCATGGCACGTGCACACTTTCTTCAAAGGATTCTCCAAGCCCAAGGACTTGCTGAACTCGTTGCACTGAAGGACTTTGGAAAGAACCCTTACCAGGAGCTGCCTTTTCCTCAAAGTCATCCGGCACTGATGGTGTTGGCACAGCCACCCCGTGGGATTCCTGGGCGTTCTGTTGAGAAAACAGAGCTGTTTAATGCTCAGGGATTTAGAATAAAAGGTTGTCAAGCAGGCAGTAGGCTGTATAGCTGGTAATCTAAGCAAACAGAAACCTGATGGGATCCAGTGCTGTTTCACAGCAATGGAGGTACTGCAGCAGCTGCTGCTGATGCTGTTTAAGTGGACTGGAAGCGGTCAAGGTTGCACAAGCCACAGGACAAAACTTTCCTTGCTAGTCAGGTGCAGACAGGCTGAAAGGAGCGTGGTTGTTTCACACCCAAGCTTAGGGCTCCACAACTTGACATCAGCAGCATTAGTTTCTCACCATTCACCTATCAAGTCAATTTAATCGCTCTCTCTGGTTTTGTGGGCACTGCTCTGCAGCAAGCCCTGACAGCCTCTGCCACAGCCACTGAAGCTGCAGAAAGGCTTCCAGGTTTTTGGGAAACTCTGGCACCAGCATATCTGAACAGGCTGGGGAAAACTGCTGCCTGTGTGGTTTGCTTCACTCTCAATCACTCCCTTAGCATTCATGCTGAAGACTCAGCAGCACATTTAGCTCTTGCAGGACCGTGCAATTTAGCAGCCTACACATCTGTGAGGATGCCCACAGCCAGGGCAGCTGTGGTAATTACAGCCACCCACTGTCAGATATTCACAGCACGGTGACTCACCCAGAGTGCTGACCAGGGCTCCTGCCTCACGCCTGCCAAAAGCAGAAAGGCTCTCCTCCTTCCTGCAGTGACTCACTGTAAGGTTGGGGTTGCAGTTGCTCATGAAATGTACAATAACGCACCCATGGCTGAAACACAACCTGGCGCTGAATCAGGCTGCCACGCAGACGTAAGCAACTGAAGCAGTGCACTGGGTTTTCAGATAGCAGTGTTGAGATAAACCGTAGCAAGGACGTACCAGGAGCTCCCGTGGGCAGGAGCTGGGGACACACTGCTGTGTGTGCAAAAGGAGACACTCTTCAGCTTGCACCACGTCTGTGCAGTGTCTCAGTAATGATTGAGCCAGCGCACTTTGCCTTTCGTTGGTACCACCACTGTTTTCACAGGAGCTTGCTATAGGATTCCAAAGTCTGTTTGCTCAAAGGTTGAGTGCCTATAGACAGCCCCATGCGGGGCACAGGCAGCACGTGAGCATTACATACCGGGTATAAGGAGATTGGGAACGTGAGCTGCTGGGGCAGGGTTGACTTCAACAGAAGCCTGAGCCCTTCAGAAGGGCCCTGTGTCCTTCCCATACCCAAACGTGCACATGCTACTGCCCTTGCAAAGTCTATTGCCCTACAGATGACCAAACACCCTCTATAACCACAAGTGAGTGAGCCAGATAAAGGCAAGCCCAGAGAGAGTAAATGGGAATGCAGAGCTCATGGCATTGAGCAACTGATCAGGGAACTTCACGCTGGTGGGAAGCCAAGGTCTGCTGAGGCATTAGGACAGATCTCTGTTAGTGGCAAAGCGCACCAGGTGAGCTTTACAACCTCATCTAAGAGTTCCATACCATTCCTAAAGGTACAATGCAGAGGAAGGATCCTCAGCTTCAGCTGAAAGCCAGAAAGAAGATGAAGAGTAACAGAGACACTTCAAGACCAGAGAACAAAATGGTCCGATGCAACCAAATTCCAAAGGCCAAAAGGAAGGAGCCAATGGTACCCATTTTCCATGGAAATTCATTTGCTGCCCATCTCCAGAACACACTGAGTGTTCCTGCTCATTTACAGGAGAACAAAAATGTCTGGGGCTCGTTTGACCTGAATTAAAAGCAAAGTATGCATCGCATGTTTGGATAGCAGTAGGTAGAAAAGAAAGAGCAGACAGAAGAGATCTATGCAAAACTGGAGGAAACAAAGTCCACACATCATAAATGAGCCATTTTGGACATGTTACTTCAACAGGTCCTAAAAACTGGGCAAGCCTGTTTCACACTCAAAATTTCTGTGGCAATCACTAATGCTCAGCATCTGAAAACCCACCCATCCTCACATCACAACCTGGCTTCCAAAATGGAAAGCATCTCCTTCAATGCACTGCCAGCCTTGAGAGATGACCAGAAAGATTATTTCCCTCCCATGTGTTTGCTAGGGGTGTGACAGCCCGAAGCTCCCGCTGATTCACAGCAGGCTGCCGTGCTCGTGGGTGGTGCACCAGGAACCTGCATTTCCAGTTTGTGGTGCTCGAAATCAGATTTGTGTGCTGAGGATCCTATTAGGGTGAGCTTTCACTGCAACAACCAGGAATCCCTTTTCAGCACTGAGACAAAACCAAATATCCTCTGCCTCCAGTGGAAGAGCTTGCCTGTCGTTGTGATCCTCAGCTCCCCCAATCTTTCCCATGGATTTAGAATCACAGAATTGTTTGAGATAGAAGGAACCCCCAAAGGCCACCTGGTTGCACTGCCCTGCACTGAGCAGGGACATCCAACAGGTGCTCAGAGCGCTGTGCTTGGGTGTCTGCAAGGACAGGGCACCACCTCTCTGGGCATTTCCTGCGGAAGCCCATGCTTCCCACCCATTAAGTGAGCTCAGTTTAAGGCCACTCCTTAAATAAAGCACCAAAACAGCTACCTTGCATTTTGAGAGTCTTAAAGAAGCCAACTATTTCCCCATGTAAGGACATCTACCTCCTAACTCTATTCTGAAGCAAAGCCTCGGAAATTTGGTGGCTAACCGAAGGAATTTCATCCCCCACGTGCCAAAGCTTTGCAGGAGAAAGGGACACTGCACAGACAGATGGCCGTGCTCTGCCTGCTCCATCCAGGGCTGCCGGTGCCCACTGGTATGCAGGGAGGGCTGCAGAACGCTGGCATGCAGGGAGCAGGCACTGCAGGGCAGGGTGTGAGCAATTGCCTGACTCAGCTGCCCACGAGCTGCTCCCCAGCATGCTGCTGGTTGGGGAATGCAGAGGGGTTGGGTGGGAAGAAAGGGTTAAGGCTGCAGATCAGCCCAGCGCAAATATGCGTGTGGCAGCAGAAGCGTCTGCGCCAAGACAAATCATCATCAAACCTGATCAAAATAATGCAAATTATCAACCCAGACTGGTCCTCCAAAATATGTGGCTTACACCTACTGCCGATTTCTTCAGTTAAACATGTTACTCTCAGAAGAGGAGCACAGTGGTAAGGATCCATCACTCTGGGAGAACCCCCCCAGACCATCTATGCCCCCGAAGGCAGCAGGAAAACAGCACTGCCAGGATGACAGCCCAAAGTATTTATTCCATTTGCGCCATTTACTCCAGTATCACCTTCACACCCACTAGGAAGACGTTTGGAAGCTCTGAGAAGATGCAAAGACCCAGCAAGTGCTACAGGGTGCCAGCTATGGTCATGTGCTGAGCTCTGTGATACCAGAGGAGTTTTTTCAGGCACTGCTCCTAACTGACAGCCCACGTGATTTCTTTCACCTCCTGTGGTCTTATGGAGGGCACTGGGGAGGGCACAATCCTTTGTAGCTTGCTAATTATGCTTTCAGGTGCTCTATAGCCTCCCCCCTCGTTGTCCTCCCAGTGACACCTGTGCAACCCATGAATGAATTGCACCCAGGTGACAGCAGACCAGCTCTTCTGCTGTGGGTGATGACTGCTCTGAAGGATGAAGGTGTACAAGGAAAACATCCCTTACTCAGACAGGACATGCTTGTCAAGACTAAGGACTTCTAAATGTGTTCAGTGACCCATATCACTTCAGATTTAGCTATCACCGTCTCCAAACTACCTCTGAGCAACCACACACTTCCCACTTCATGTACCTACATGAGGTAAGACCACTGGAAAGGTGCCTTACACAGGAAGACAGCTCGCTCAGCACAAGTGGCAGTGCAGCACCAGAGCCAGCACTGAGCACTTGTGGCTTTTGGAGGCAGTGGTGTCCCAGCTGTGGTCCAACCACCTGTGGTCCATGTGCACTGGCACTCCCTCCTTTGGACACTGGTAGCCCTGCTCAGAGCTTTATCCCATACACAGAGAATGGGAAAAATAACTGTCCAACAGCCACAAAGCTTTGTGACAGTATCCTGATAACACAGGTGTGACAACTGCCCACAGCTGCTCAGATGCAGAGAACAAAACCCACTGCCCAGTCCCATCCCCAGCCATGCTGGGTGGAGGAGCTCTGACCAGGAGCGCGACTTCAACCACCACAAACTCATCTAGCAACACAAAGATGTCACCTTTGGGATTAGCTCAGACATGGACATGCTGCTCTTCCCTCCATGTCAACTTTTGGCTTGTGCAAAGGTTCTGTCACTCCCCAAACTCCTTACAGAAAAAGAAAAAACGCAGCTTGGTCATTCTCTGCTTGCTGAGCTTGTGATGTTTGACATTCACGTCTGGTGTTTGCTATGGGACACGGAAGATGCTACTCCTTTGTTTCACACCAGAACAAAGAGATTTGGAGTCAGTGCAGCCCATCAGGCTCTGCAGGCACCTGCTGCATCGCCTCCTTGCTCCTGGGCCAGAAACAAGAGCTTTCCTCCTGCTCTATCCAGCACGACGCCAGATCAGAGACTGCCAGCAGTTACACAAAGAGCAGCGCCAGCCAGATCTGTTCATCTACACACTCAGCAATTTTGACAAAAATGAAAGTACAAGGCAGATAATGCTCACATCTCTCACCCAAGCATCTCGCCTATGCCCAACAAGAGCCTTGAACTCGAATCACCTCCTAATCCCTCGCATTCATCATCATTACAGAGTGCTTTGGCTTTTCATTTCTTTTCTTCCCCCCCCTCCCCAAAGAGGAGGATGAGGGAAGCAACCAGCCTGGCTGGTTCTGGGTATCAGCCCACAGCACTGCTGGCCAACACTCACCAGGGGCAGGAATGTCAGCAGCGGCCGCACTCTGGGACGAGGCTTCAACGTTGCAGTTCCGGAGTCGGTCATCGTCCCAAAGCGGTTGTCACCATAATACACTTCAATCACATCCCCTGAGAGGAAGAAAGGACAGTTAGCAGCAGAACTGCATTCAGGGCAGCAGGGAAACAGCACTGGGCAGCACCTCGCTTCAGAAAGCGCTGGGAAGGGTTTGTTGTATCAGCTCCCAGAAATGGGCAAGGAGCATCACACTGTGTAGGGGATCGGAGCTGAGGAGGCAGGTCTGGGCTCCAGGTGGTGGAGGTGGGAGAGCACAGGCATCTCTCTGACAGGCTCATTTCTAATAGCAATGAAGCAAAATTTAGCCCTGAGGACCAAATGTCAGTACTGTATCCAATTCACTCCCCACCCAGATTTGGTCTGGGGAAGGAAGATGCCCCTCTGGGACAGCACAGCAACAGACACAGAACTTCCCCAGGAGGTGCTTTCTGGCCTCTCTCTGTGTACTCCCAGCAGGACAGGTGCTGGGGCCACTCATCCAGCTGGATGTGTGACATGGCATCCCTAGAGCATCCTTCTGTGCGTTGCTGCATGTTGGCCTCTCATAATTGGCACTGGAGGACAAACTGCTCGCCCCAACACTGAGCCTCCAGCCAGCCTTATGAAGAGAGGCTCCAAACTGTCCACGAAATGCTATGATGAGCACAGAGCCCTGGCACTGTGAGCAGAAGCTCTCAGGTGCTGCTGGTTCCCAGCCCTGTGCTTCTACCTTCAGCCACACCTCTTGGGTCAGTTCATTTCTGACGGAGAATAAAGCTCATAAAATTACTTTAATTGCATTCTTTGTGTCTGATTAACAGCATGAACTTACAAGCAGAAGCTCTGAAGCGTGTAAACCCCACCTTGGCTGGAAGGAGATGCACCAATAATTCCCAGCCAAGCAGACCACCACCAAATACAGAGGTCTGAAAAGGAAGAGGGGGGGAAGCATGCAAAGCAGCTGCGACCAGAGAAGGTCAGCAGCAGTGCTCCCACCAACAGATTTCGATAGCAAAGAGGATAAAGCAGAAACCAATAAAGCGGAACCAAGAACCAGCGTTCCGCTCCAAAACACTGACGCTGAGAAGTAAACAGACTTATTTTCCCCTTGAGAAGTTTGGGAGCACAGTGCTCAAGCTCCCATGCTAAAGCGGGAAGTGCAGAAATAGTTTCTGTCAAGTTCCATACTGAAATTAAAGGTTGAGGAGCAGAAGAGCAAAAGTTGCATAAGCTCGGTGGTAGCAGAGGGCTGTGGTTCCATGCCTCCAGCACCTCCAGGCAGGCTGACCATGTCCCCTGGCACAGCTCATGTCCCCCATGCTGCCTCCCCCTCCTCACACAGGTGGAGGCCCTGGTGGGGTCTCTGGGCAATCCTGGGCTGTCATGGCACACAGCCACGTCTGCTGCTAGGGCTTGATAAACAGAGTGGGAAGGAGACACCAGGCATTGCATACATATGGGCAAGACCAGGAGGCAGGGCAGATTTTAGAGAAAATAGTAAACGAATCAGAACAGGTCCAACTGGGGCTGGGATGGATGGAATGCAGTCTTACGCTGCAGAGAAGAAATCATTAAACAGGAACTTCCTCTGCTGAACAAACTCAAACACCTCAAAGGGACTTCAGAGAGCCGGTGCGCCTTCCTCTCATTGGCTGCAAGAAGCTCTGCTCTCTGGGGACCAGCAGAGATCAGCCAAGAAGGAAAGAGAAGTTTACACTGAGTTCAGGGAGATAAGGGGAGGACAAATGCTTAAATGCATCCCCACAGAACTAAAGCGTTTTCTTCACCTGGAGTGAAGGAATTGGCCACAGTGGGGGCCGGAAATGTCTCAGGAGGGATGAAAGAATTCAGCATAACCATGAGCTGTAACACCAGGTCCAGCAGGCATACAAGCTTCTCCTTTCTCCCACCACAGTCTGCCCTAACGTACAGCCCAGTGTATCCACAATCCTCTGTCCCTATGGACTTCCCTGAGATGCCAGCACGTAATTACTGTTATTGTTAATTTTGCATAACCCCTCGGGTAACCCCACATTCAGCAAGCAAGCAGCAAGAGCCAAGGCCCACAGAACATGGGAATGTTGATTCAGACAGCTTTGTGGAGCGGAGATAGAGCGGTTCAGAGACCTGAAATAATGTGAGAATTTCCTATTAAGACATTGAGTAAGTAAACTCAGTGAGAAAATGTATTAAAGATCACAAGGGCTTTGATCCTAGATTACTAAGCATCTCTAACCTGAATGCATTTAATTAAAGTAAAATGAAGTGCTTGTAGTTGTGCTTTCTTTGCTAGATAAACAGGACCTGCCTGCTGCAGGTCTGTCACTGTGCTGTTTCCTGGAAGGAGAGCTTGGGGAAGCTCTGGAGCCACAGGGAGCAGCTGGCCCTGGCCAAGCGTTGGCCACTCTGTGGCATTCGGTCTGTTTTGAAGTCATTTGTGTCCCCTCAGTTGTGGGAAACAAAATAAGCCATTTACAACACATGCAATGGAACTCTTTCCTACTCCAGGGTTGGTTGCATCACCTGGAGCAGGCGCAGCACAGCCGGGAACCGCAGCGAGGAGGCGGCAGCAGTCACTTTGTTCAGGAATCTCTGAGTCAGTGACAGGCAGACCTACACCCTTCCCACATTGCTTAACTTCTGTTTACTTTGTATGAAAAATCCAAGGTGGGGATTCGCACGGGCAGGGGACTCTTTTGGGCAGCAACCACGGCATGCAAAGATGCAGCAAACCTTTGAGAAGCAGGGAGCACATGGGGCTTCGTGGGGTGAAAATAAACTGTTTGGGATCCAAGAGAGCCTGGGAGCAGCGCTCCACTCAGTGCAGTGAGCACACACTGCTCAGAGCACAGTCACTCAATGCATGTGCCACACAGAATCATAGATTGGCCTGGGTTGAAAAGGACCATAAAGATCATCTCGCTCCTACCCCCTGCTATGTGCAGGGTCACAAGCAAGCAGACCAGGCTGCCCAGAGCCATATCTTGGCTTTGAATACCTCCAGGGATGGGGCATCCACAACCTCCTTGGGCAACCTAGAGCCATAGAAATGAACCAACAGCACAAACACCACGAGGATGGCAGGGAGTGATTCAATCACCTTCATTTATGCACAAGTTCCAGGACTGCTGGCTTTTACTCTGCGCAGCAGCTCCTACACCTGCAAGGAATGCCTTTGTACTGTGCCGCAGCCATGGGAGCCCATTGGGTAGCGAGCAGGCAGCAAGTTTGTTGCTTGCTTTTTGTTTACTTTTAACTCAAGCCACATCAGAGAGAGGCCCGAATCCCGCTCACATTCGCAGCAGGCAGAAAGCAGCGATTTTCCCTCTGCGTTCGAGAGCTGCAATGAAACTCCATCACGTTTTACCAGAGTTTCACCAGCGGCCTTCGGGGCGTAACCGCGCTGCGACGGCACCGCTTCGCCCAACAGCGGGGGAGCAGCGCTGGAGGTTCCGCTGGGAGCTCACAGCCAAACCCCATCCTGCAGCGGCCGCTGCCACCCCGGCTGCACCACCGTCACCCCTTCCCCCTCCTCCCTGAGCCCTCAGGGCACAGCGTTGCGATTACAAGCAAACGAAACGCAAACAGCACCCCCCTCAATCACGGCGTCTCATGAAACAGCTTTAGGGAGGAGAGAGGAAAGCCGGGCAAAGAGCGGCGCGGCCGCATCGCAGGGACGAGACGGGAACGGGGCAGCCCTTCTCCCCGCCCCGCAGCGCTCCTGGTCGCCCCTCCCCAAGCTTTCCTCCCCTCGGCTTCACGGAGGATGGGGAGCACTGACCGGTGCCTCCAGCGCTGTCGGAGGTCACCTCCTGGCTGAAGATCCAGGGCGGGTTGGTAGCGAAGAGCGAAGCGGCGGCCGTGCCGTGCTTCTTGCCGAAGAGGCGGCTGAAAGTGCCCTGCACGGAGTGATGCTTCTTCATGGCGGGGCTCCGCCGCTCCGCTCCGCTCCGCTCCGCTCCCGGCACCGAACCTCCGGCGGCACCGGGCCGCTGGGAGCGGGAGGCAGCGGGCAGGGAGCGAGCGGAGCGGCCGGAACACCTGGCCCCGCCCGGCCCCGCCTCCGCCAGGTGCCCGCCCGGCCCCGCTCCTCCCGCCGCCTTCCTCTGCTTCCCCTTCAGCCCCAGGTGCAGCCACGCGACTTTTCCGACTCGTCCCCAGCGTGGCCAAGCTTTTGCCCGACGGTTGTCTGTCTGTCCCGCTGTCCCACGAGCATAGAACGGCTTGAGATGGAGAAGACCCACAAAGGCCATCAGTTCCCACTGCCCCGCAGTGCACGGGGACGCCCACAGCTCCATCAGGTGCTCAGAGCCCCATCCGCTGCCCTCGGGTGCCCACAAGGACGGGGCTCACTGAGTTGCAAAGCCCTATTCACACATACGGATCCCCTACAGATCCCTGCAAACACCAGCCCTCCCTGCATGCCCCGCACTGCTGGCAGCTGGGCTATTTCAGACACAGAAGCTGAAAGACAGTGGGAATTGACCCCAGATCATTTTTTCTGAAGCGTCCCACGCTGCCATCAATGTCCTGTCTCACAAATAAGAGCTGAGGGTTAATGAGTAACCTTGGTTATTAATAAATGATGGGGCTTACGGGAGAACTTTAAACCCCAAATAATTGTCAGAACATTAACTCTGAAGCACAGCTACAGTGTAAGGTCCTCCTATCTTGCATTTATTTCTGCTTCCATGCTGTTTTGGCAGTCAAAAGGATACTGATTTCTTTCCCAGTGGTAACTATCACATATTTAATCACTTTTTGAAATCCCTCTTTCCACAGCGTTTTCTTTATACACAAAGCACAGTGTGGGAACAGTGAAAAATGAGCACTGCTGTGATATGGCAAAAGGCTCCAGCCATGTCATGAAAGGCCAGGCAAAGAGAGCCAACAAAAGTGGCAAATGCAAAAGGGAGGGGAGCTGAGAGGCTGACCGTGTGAGCTCTGGGGCTGTTACAGGCTGTGATATTTCAGAGCCTTTCCAGGATGCAGCTGGATCTACCGACACCCCACGCCCATCCTGCAGGCTGATGCTGCCAGGGAATCTCCAGGCCTGACCTGCTCTGTAATTAGTGGGGCTCAGCCCTCGGGACTGTTAGCTTAACTGCTGCTTATGGAGAGGTGGAACGGAAGCAAACAAACATCTGTCTGAGTGCATCTCCTGCACGCCCCGGGTGTGCCTGGGGGCTGCAGCCATGGATCAGGGGAGAGGGGCACCTCTGGGGAGCAGAAATCAAATGCGAGGAAGGAGCCCCATGCTGCCAAATGGAGCGGTTTTATTTCACCAGCCGATGGGTGAAACAAAAGCATTGTTATGTGCAAAGGACACAATATCTCTGCGAGACATGCCAGGTGTAAGTGCTGGGCTGATAGTCGCAGTCTTTGACTGAACAAATGGAGCGGGGCATGCAGAAAGGCAAAGAAAGTCACAAGAAAGGGGAAGGAGAAGAGGAACTGTTTTGAGGAGATAAGCCAATGAAGTTCCATGGGATGAGGAAGCACTCTTGCACAGAGCTGCTTCACAAAATGCTGTTGCACTGCAGAGATGTCAGAGGGGCTGTGAAGCTGCAGCGCTGCTGTGCAGTGACAGGGAGGGATGGTTCAGCCCCTTCCACCAGCACCAGCAGTTTCTGCACCCTACAGATGGGGGTCACGAGAATACCTCAAATGGAAAGAGCAAAAGAAAAGCACACCAGGTGTGGTGCAGGCTTCAGCACAGGGCAAGCTCGGATGATGTAGTGAAGATGCCCCACTTAGTGACAGCTGTGTTTTAAGGGAGGCTGATGCTGCTGGTGGGGCAGGTGGGCTGCTGGGCTGGGTGCTTGGCAGGGAGGAGCTGGGAGGACTGGGAGGACTGGGGTGGCTGCCAGCTGACTTCGTGGCACAGAGATAGCCCTGTGAACACTGCCGTGATGGAACACTGCTGTGTGAGGCTCTCTTTGATCACAGGTGAACACCCCAGAACAATCTGCTTTTGCATCAGTGCAGGGAGCTGCGCCCTGCAGATGCAGATCTCCCTAGTGAGAAATGCTTGTGCAGTGAGGTTCCGCTGCCAGACCCCATAGAAGTTGGGAGGAGAAATCCAAGCAACGAAGCAGCTCGTGCCAAAAGGAATATTGGGTCTGTGCTGCCGGGGCCACGAACTGGTGGTGGTGGCAGAGCAGCTGCATGGGCAGCCGTGGCCGAACCCCTTTGCCTTGGGGCCACCACCCTGGTGACACCACAATGGCCCCAGAAGCCCCGGTGCAGGGAGAGCTCTGCTAACAGGACCTCGTGGTGCCAGCGAGCAGCAGCATCCCTGCCCCTGTGCACATGCGTCAGTCCCTGTGCAGGGACAGTGACAACATCCCAGGGTAGGGCAGCTGCTGCCAGCAGGGCAGAATACTCTGGTAACTCAGCCTTGCCCCTGTGACCCCACCTGTAGGGATCTTCTCTGGGAGTCAAAAGGCAATGTGGAAGGGATTAGAGGCCTTAAATGCATGGCTGAACAAAATAGGATTGCACAGGACTCTTAATCCCTGCTAGAGTTCTGCCAGTACCATAAATAGTGCCATGGACGTAGAACTGGTGCTTCCCCTCCATGATCACGTAATCAGGTGCACCACACGGGCACGAGGGATCTTTCAGTGCCCCACAGGGTGAGGAGGAAGCCTCAGGGCAGGCGAACCCATGGCATGAGCAAAGCCCAGAGCTGAGCACTCCCCGGCCCAGAATCCTGCCCAGCGCTGCCCTATCGCTGGGCGCGTGCGAGCCTTGCACATCTCAAAGGCATCTACATGACTTAGCAGTTAGGTTTTCAAAGCACTCAAGGCCTTACCCACACACCCCAAATGCGCTGCCTTAATAACGCTGATGCCTCCCTGCTGGGTGGGTGCAGTTGCAGCAGCTCAGTCGTGTGTATACTTGTCTGCTATCTGTCAAAGCGCACAAGGCAAGGAGCTGTAATCATGCATGCGTGTGACTGTGATTGGTACTGGGCAAACCTCAGAGTGTTTGGAGCAGGGATCCACAGACCACAGTGCAAGGTCCGCTCTTACATCTTCGAGACCCAAAGCCCCGATATTTTGTCTCCCATGGCAAGTGCTGGGAGCCAGGTTGTTTCCTTGCTGGAGGGACAGCTGAACTACTGCTTGTGCTGAGCTCTGGCCACAGGGACTTCCAGGCACCAGGCAGATGGCTGCATCTGGGAAATAAGTGACAAAGTGAGGCGATAAGCCTGGGGGATCTCATCATTTCCCTATGAGGCTGAGGGAGATTTCTATAAATGATTCACTGGTGTTCCCCTCATAATAGGTGTAGCAGGCTCTGTTCAGAGCCAGATATGCAGAACCAAAATAAAGCACCAGTAAGCCAGGGCGTCACGGAAACTGGGAAACTTCTTTATGTGGTTAAAAATAAATTCAGACAGCGAGGAGTTTATTTAGGATGCCCAGAAGTAAATAGGATAATTGCTGGGGGAAGAGCCAGTTTCCATCGGCACAGAGCTGCCATCAATGAAAACAAGATAACTGAGTCATGGTTAAATAACCATGGCAAAATAATTCTGCAGTCAGGCTCAGCCTCGAGTAGCCGGGGGGCACGAGGCAGGGCTGCTGTGCTGGGCACACACCCACACCGTGTCCTCCTGCAAAGGGTTCTCTCATCCCTATGGGTGGGATGGCTGCTTTGTGCTGCCCCTGGTCCGGTGCTGGGCACGTCTCTGGTGTGCTGACCTTGGGGCAGGGACAGGCTGGCCTCACCAGATTCAATAATTCTGTTTTCCCCTTGGCACTGCTGAGGGCTGTGCCTCCAGGCTGCGCTTGCATGCTGCTGCTGCTCATGCCCCATTGCACCTCATGCATCAGGCTGGGGTAAGCTGTCTGCACAGCCTGTCAGCTGTGGCTGCTGCTTGGAGGAGTCTTGACACGGCACTGGAAGGAGCTCATATTGCTATTATTTATAGGTGTTATTACTGAGACCCTAATCTGGGACCAGGGCTCCACCGTGCCCAACGCCAAAGGGAAAAGCAGTGTCCTGCAAGCAGTGGGGGATGAGCCCAAGTCCCTCAGTGTGTTTTGGTTTATGTTCATTCTGATTTTTGGCCACTGGTACGCAATGATCACGTCGGGATGTTGAGCACTGCTGGCTGACGGCAGTGCATTTGTCCATTGAAAATGCATTTGTCCAACTTTTTTTCAGGTGACTGAAACACCAGAAGGCCACACATAGCAAAGACCAGAAGAGGGCAAAGGGAATGGGGGAGAGCAAAGCAAAGCAGGATGCTCCCCACCCTCTACCCAGCCCCAAGGGCCGGGGATCCCCAGCACAGCACTGCTCAGAGCAGACCTTGGCCTCCCGCTTCGTCCCCTTTGTTGCCCACACTGGGGGCCAGGAACCCGACTCCTTCAAGTTCCTCTTCTACACACGGCACTGCTCCAACTCATACAGCCCTTTCTACACCTCACAGAGGCCGACCTGTGGGTACCTCTTTCACCACGACACCGATCACACCAAGAAGGTGATGGACGTCCAGAGCGCTAACATCATGAAGTGGGGACCCATCCCAACTCAAAGCCGTAATGCAGAGCAATAAACCCAAAGCAGTGAGAGCAGCTGTTGGTCTTCCTCCTGCTTCCCACCTGAAGGCATAGATGAGAAGTGACATGGAGCCAGGGGACGGGCAGCAGAGTCATGGCACTGCTCACAGAGCTGCCCTATGCATAGGGAAATTATTATTCCCAGTGGCTGTGGGGTGGCTGGCTCATCTCTGTGCTGCTCTCCCAGAGCATCCCAGCCTTGTGTTCCAGGTGCAGTGTTAGCAAAGCCTCTGGAAACTGTTGGTGAGCTCACACCCACCCCTAGCACGCAACCCTGCCTCTATTAATGGGCACCCAACAACTGCAAGGCCTGGCTGTGCTTTGGGACAGGCTGTCCCATAGAGGTTTCCTCTGCACCACGCTGGGCACAGCAGGAGCTGAGCCAG